CACCCAGGCGAGCGGAGACCCGTGACCGCAGGCGCAGGAGGCACCGAGCCAGAGGGGTCGCTCCCGGGGTTGCTCCCCCGGGTCCTGCAAGAGCAGCAGAAGCGGGGCCTCGGTCTCCGGTGAGGATTCACACCTGAAGAAGAGATGCAGGGAGGAGGTTTATGTTCATTTCCAAGAGAGGGAAGGGCCAAGGGCGGCTAGTCCACCCAGGGCAGGGAAGAGGGGCTTAGATATATACTAGAAGCCCAGCCGGAAATGCCACGCTGCCCCGCCCACCGCTCGGTGCTGCTCACAGCCCTGCCCACCGGGCTGGTCGTTGGTCATTAGGGCGTTAGGGCCACAGGCCTTTTATAATACAGAAGATTACTTTTTATTGATTTCAGAGAGGAAGAGAGAGGGAGAAAGAGAGAAACATCGAGGATGAGAGAGCATCATTGGTCGGCTGCCACCTGAACACCCTACACCGGGGATGGAGCCCGCAATCCCGCCCTGTGCCCTGACCCCAATCCAGCTGTGACCTCCCCATTCCTAGGGCATCGCTCAGCCCCTGAGCCCCGCCCCTGGCTGAAGAGGATGCCATCCCTGCCAAACTCAGTTGCCTCCCAACATGCTTCTGTGCCCAGCGTGGGGGTGTGTAACCTGGAATGCTGGGTGCAGATATCTTCATGGTGTATATTTTATTTCCTTTTAGTGGAATAGTATTTCAGTTAAGGTATAGTTTTCGTTTTTTGTAATTGCAGTATTTCTTCACTTGCTTTAGGAGGTTATAGTTACACTAGAGGCCTGGTGCATGAAATTCGTGCACTTGGGGGGCTTCTTTCAGCCCTGCCTGCACCCTCTCACAGTCCGGGAGCCCTTGGCAGATGTCCAACTGACGGCTTAGGCCGGCTCCGTGGCAGTCAGACATCCTTAGTGCTGCTGCGGAGGTGGGAGAGGCTCCTGCTACTGCCGCTGCACTCAGCAGCCCTGAGCCCAGCTTAGGGCTTCTGGCTGAGCAGCCCCCCGCCCCCAGGGCACTGACCACCAGGGAGCAGCTCCTGCATTGAGCGTCTGCCCCCTGGTGGTCAGTGCGCATCATAGCAACCAGCCATTCCACTGTTCGGTCGATTTGTATATTCGCCTTTTATTATATAGGATGATTTCTGATGTACTTTTCGATAAATATGAAATTATGAAAAGATCTCTTGTTGACATCTTTTATTTTTGTTTTATTGAATTTATTGGGGGAAGTTTGTTAATAAAGTTATATAGGTTTCAGACCTACAGTACATCATCTGTAAATTATATAGTGTATTTACCACCCAAAGTTGACAAAATTTAATATCCATTCAAGATAAGATACCTTAGCAAACAAGGAATAGAGGGGAACTTTTTAAACAAAAAGAAGTCAGCATATACCTTATGCTTTATACAAAAACTAAAGGAACATGAAGTATAGACCTAAATGTAAAACATGAAACTATAAGACATAGAGAAGAAAATAGGGAATTTGTGTGACCTTGGGTTTGGCAATGACATTTTTGATATAACACCAAAAAGATAATCCATGAGAGAAAAATGTGGTAACTTGGAACTTAACCAAATTAAAAACTTTTGCTTCATGGAAGATACTCATAAGCGAGTGAAAACGCATTAGTGTGGAGCAAGATGGCAGATTAGGAAGCGGAGGGCGCTTCCCCAGTGACAGGGCAAGGGAGTGGGGTGGTGTATTCAGCACCAAGGGAAACCCCAATAACCAAGAATACTCTTGCCGGGGTTTCCGCATCTACAAGCGTCCAGGAAATCTGCTAAAGGGCTGTGCATCAATGAATGAAGAGGCCAGAGAAGAAATATGAATTTGGAAGGCATTTTGGGGTGCTAGACGGAAACTTAGTTCTAGTGACTAAGCTCCCCCAAATCTCTGGACCCCTAGCTTTTTATTAACACAGTTTGCCCTCTAGCAAAGCAGATACACATATCCAAGGTAAGGTTTGGTAAACAGTAAAAGATTATCAGGTTGGGGGAACTGCCTTCGCTGTTCCAGCAGCAGGTAATATACAGATCTTCAGTCCTGCTGGCACCCCATCAACCTTTCGATGAACTTCTTGCATAATTATGACCCGCTGGAATTAGCCTCCAGCGTATACTCTGTCCGGCAAATACGAAGGAGAGAGGGACTTTCACACAACAGGGGAGCGTTCATCACTGCCGGACCTGCTTGATAAGAAATGCCCCAGAATTATCCAAGTGGAAAGGAGAGCACGCTCACCAGCAAGACAAAAGCATGTGGAACGTTAAAACTCGCTCCTAAAGGTAAATCGATGGACAAGCACAGAGCCCTGTAATGATGGTGGATAAATCTCATTCTAGTAGAAACGTTAAATGACAAAAGTAACTATAAAGCATAATGGGTACACATAGAAAAAGGACATCAAAAGCTTTGTGGGGAGTAAAAGGGTGTTTTTGTGTATAATCATAGTTGTCTTCGGCTTAAAATAGACGTATGTTTTATGTAAACCTGATAATCCTTTTACTGTTTACCTAACTTTACCTTTGATGCGCCTGTATGCATTCCTGACGGGCAAGTGTGTATTCAAGTGCATAAAGGCAGACGGGACCCAGAAGTCGGAGAGCTTCTTCACTAGAGGGAAGTCTCCACCTGGCCCCCCGTGCCTTCTAAATTCTAGCTGTAAATGGATGCGGCATAAAGTGCCCCTCCTGGCTTGGCCTCCACCTGCTCTCACTTCACCCAGGGGCCCCTCGAGGTTCCGGATGGGAAGAGTGGAGTGTGGTTCGGGCCCTCCTCTGACCCGCCACAGCCCCACCCTTTGCCCTCTTCTCTGGCTGAGGCACAAAGGGCCAGGGGTTGGGTGACTTGGTCTTCTGCTCATGCTGACGGGGTCCCTCCAGATGCCCCTGAGGACACATTTCCCAGGTGGTTTAGGGGGGAAAACCACAAGGGCCGACAAACCTGAACTCCGTCTCCCTCACTCAAACCTGCTCTAGTGCTGTGGCCTCCAGGGAAATGTCAACGCCAGCCATGTGTGGATTTACTAGAGGCCCGGTGCGCGAAAATTCATGCACTGGAGGGGCGTCCCTCAGCCTGGCCTGCCCCCTCTCACAGTCTGGGAGCCTTCAGGGGCGGGAGGCAACCCTGCGATCAGGGGAAGGCGATGCCCCATCACACCTCTGCTGCTGCCACTGCCGGCAGCGCAAGCCTTGGCCGGCCCTGGTTACCTGAGCCTCTGGAGGCCCTGGGCGGCTGGGTGCTGAGGGGACTGGGTGCCGCCATCTTCGAGGGCGTGGCAGTCAATTAGCATATTCCCTCCTTATTGGCTGTGGGCGCTGCCATCTTTGCAACAGTGTGGGGGTCAATTAGCATATCCCCTCCTATTAGATAGGATGTGAGGAAACGGCAGTGCGTGACTGGTCCATTGTTAGCGACTCCAGAGGAGGGAGCTCCCCTGGGCCTCATTCACAGCAGTGCAGGCCGCACCCCACCGAGGCCCTGCCCGGGGACTCGCCACGCCTCATGTGTAGTGGGCACCGAGTCTTTACCTACGGAATCAAATTCACGTTCTTGCTTGTCAGCCCACAGCCCGGGCACATGCCCTGACGGAATCGAACCGTGACCTCCCGGTTCATAGGTTGACACAACCACTGAGCCACACCAGCCGGGCTGACACCACTGTTTTTGTTGGCATCTCCTCTGCTTTTCATGGCCTCACTCAGGGTTTGGCCAGACCAGCAGGGAATAACCTCGAAATTAAAATAATCCCTCATTTAATTAAACCAGCTTTGCTGAGTGTGGGGACCTTGAGACCAGAGAAACCTGCTTTAGAACAGGTATCTTCTTCAAATTGCTTTCTGAAATCTGTTTGTCTTAACCATAACGTAGTCCTCTGAAGTAGGAACCTATCTGGAATCCTGGCAAGTGGCTCTAATGATGTATGATTTCGTTGTGTGGCTCAAACATGGAGCCTGAGAAGGGGAGATGATCAGGTCGCCAGGGGTGCTCACGGGCTCCTGAGCGCAGCGGAATTCAGAACTGCGGGGCGAGGCTGCCGCCCAGTGTTGATGTCACACAGCTCGGCCCAATGAGCACAGACGCCAAGCTGGCCAGTGGCTGTCCATTCTGCTGCTCCGGGGGTGCCGTGAGCTCTCCAAATGGACACCTTAGCCGCTCCCCCGAGGACAGAATTTCCTTTCTCGAGTGGAAGGCGTGAGGAATTCCCGATAAGATGTGCTGCTCCTGGAAGTTTGTTTTAATTGTGTGCTTTCTTTCCTGCTGGCTTCCATCCTGCAGTGGCGACCTGGACAGTACGTATCTGCGGGGGTGGCTGCTCTCTCCGCTCACCTGTGCCTGGCTTCGGGGAATCCGAGGTCCATTCCAGACAAGGTGGCTTCCTGGGAAGGACAAGGGGAAACCTCTCTCCTAAAACACGGATCACAGAAGGGACTGTGTGTTCTCCGTCTCATCTGACGTCACAGTTTGAAGAAGTTACCCTCCGAGTCCTTCCCACAGGAGATGTTTAGGTCTCGTGTGCAGTGGGGGCTCGTCACTCTGACAGTGGCCACGCTGTAGGGGCACAGGTGTGGGGTGAAGCCACCTGTGCAGGCAGTTCCTCAGCTTCGGCTCCCGCTGCGAGAGGCTGGGGAGGCATTCCCGCCCGCCCTCCCTCCTTCCTTTTCTCGGGTGTTGCACTTTGTCGCATTAATTATGCGCCCTCAGCTCCCTCTCTGGGCCCGGCCAGCCTTCTAGGCCTCCCAGGGCCACACACCCTGTTTTCCCCGCAGAAGGCTCTGTGGTTTGGGGTTCATTCTTCTTCCGGGAGGAGCACATCGAGGCTGCTGCCGGCTGTGTGGGGCGGGGGCCCTGTTCACTGCACCTGCATGTCTCCTCCAGGTAAAACTTCTGAAGTCCTCTCCGTAGCCATGATCAGCATTGGCGCCGGCATCCTGCTGGCCCTGCTCGCGCTGTTAGGTGTCATCAGCTGTCTTTACTTCAAAGTGGCCAAGGCATTGAAGTAAGTGACGTGATTAGAGTGGCCACTCCCTCGCACGGCCCCTGGGCTGAGCTGGAGCAGGGCACGCCCTGCCCTGGGCCGCCCCCCGGGTCAGGAACAGGGCAGCTGGGAAAAGGCAGAGACAGGTGAGCATGGTCTCCTGGCCCTTCCCCTCGGGGCCGGGCTGTGAGCTCACAGTGAGGTTCCCAGCGGGTGGCTCTGGGTCAGCGCTGTCCGCTGCCCAGGCCTCGGGGAGCTGCCCCTCCACGGGGACTCACACCTTGGCCGGCCCTGCCTGCGTCCCGGGCTCTGCAGGCGGGGAGAGGACCCTTCAAATGTGGGAGGTTTGCTGGCAGAAGCCGTGGAGCTCCTGTTCTAGGGAGGGAGGCTGTGCACTAGGTCAATCCAGAACCCGGGGCAGCTGACGGGCGCCTGCCCCCGACCCGGGCTCCGCAGGTGGGGTCTCAGCCGCTGGGAAGCCCACACTGGCACCCCTGTACCTTTGTGCTGGGTCTGGCCTGGCATCTCTGGCGTCTTGGAGAGCACATGACCCAGGAGCCTGGGTCAGGGCAGAGCTTTCCTCTCAGGCTGGGCCGCCCCACACCCCCGGCACCCTGACCGCGGGCACAGGCGGGCTGAGGGGGTTCTAATCCCTCCTGTGTGTCTCTTTTCTTAAGAGTTTCAAAACCACCTTTTTGTTTGGCCTTAAAAAATCATCCATCCGTGGTCACCCAGGACAAGATCACCGCGGCCCCATCCATCACCACCGGCTGCTACCCCAACCTCCAGTTCTGTGAGGAGTGCCCCTTGTTCACCGACTTCGACTGCCTGCCGCCATGCTTCTGCGATGTGAACGAGGGCCTCTGACTCAGGTGGGCACGGATCCTTCAGGAGCCATCTTTCCTTCTTAGTAGCATGTTTTATTATTCAGGTCAAGTTTTGTAGTGTGTATATTATGTACTGTGTAACGTATTTATGTGCTTTTGAATAAATGCAGTATTGAAACAACCCTCTCTGCCTCAGGGATGTTTGTTGATGTTAGGTTACAAATGTTCTTAAATTTGTGTATTACCCACTTTGCAACCTGGCAACTAGCTTGTAATAATATCATATTGCCATGTAAGGAGAGTGAGAGTAGAATGGATGGGTGGATGGATGGATGGATGACTGGATGGATGAATGACTGGATGGATGGATGGATGGATGGATAGACGAATGGAAGAGGGCTGCCCCACGCTCCTGTTAAGCACGACTTCCCGATGTCACAGGTGCTAGACCTCGCAATACAGCCCCAGTCTCACCTTGGAGCCAGGACTCCTTTCTCTCATCTGCCAAACGCAGTGCCAGGGACTTGAACTCACCTGCTTCAGGCTCTCGGGACACGGCCAGCTAGAGATTGGTGGACGCTGAACCTGTACTTTCTTCTTCCTCCCCGTCCTGTGTCACCCCCTCCCCTCCCTCATGGTCAGCACCCTGGCAGCATCCAAGTGACCCAGCTGGATCCTGGGTTGGCCCAGATGCCATCCCCCCCAACTTGATTCTTTGGACCCCCACAGGCTTTAGTGTTTAGAGAAGGGCAGTGAAGGCTTTAGGGTCAATGACGTTACCCCCTCCATGATCTGGACATGTCACAGGGCATAGGCCCAATTCCCAGTCAGGGCCAGGAGGAGGTCCCCAGTGCCCACTGTGTGCCAGGGCCGGGGGTGCCTGTGAAGAGTGTTCGCTGGTGCCATCCCCAGGGCCTCCGGACTCAGTGGAGGAGAGCACGCCCTCACTGTGGGGCTGGCTGACACACGGCCACGGCGGCTGTGCTCACACCGCTCCCCGATGCTGAACAGTTTCAGACAACGATCAAGTGCTCGAGAGCGAAGAGTCAGAGAACGCAAGGATCTGATTTAGCAAACGCACCGCTTTACTGAAGAGGAGTACACGCGGCTGCTAGTCCCTCCCAGGTTATGGGGAGACCGGAGAAATCACGCCACGCCCTGGCTCCCCTCAGTTCCTCTGGATTTCCAGGGGCCCCAGCACCCGGAGATGCCCCGCCTGCTCCCCCGAGGCCACCACAGGGCCCGCGCCCCTCCGGCTCCGGCCCCGCCCAGCACAGCCCTGGGAGCAGCGGGAGGAGGGGTCTCCCGCTTTGCACACAGCGACCTCGCACCGCAGGTAGACCACCTCGTAGCCGGGGAGGAAGCTGAAGGCGTTGAACTTGAACTGGGCCGTGTTCCTCTGGTGAGAAGGGAGGCTGACGTAGGTGTCATCTGCGACACACCTGGGGGAAGGGCCCACACCAGGAGGTTAACGGAGAGCACAGGTGAGTCACTCCAGCTCCGCAATCAAGCTGGGACCCAGACCTCCGCATTCTAAATGGGGGTCTTCCCACCACCCCTTTCTCCGTTTTATGAAAAAATGTTTACAGCCAGGCCGGCGTGGCTCAGTGATTGAGCATCGACCTATGAACCAGGAGGTCCCGGTGCGATTCCCAGTCAGGGCACAGGCCCGGGTTGTGGGCTCTGTCCCCAGTGGGGGGCGTGCAGGAGGCAGCTGACCAATGATTCTCTCTCATCACTGATGTTTCTCTCTCTCTCTCCCTCTCCCTTCTTCTCCGAAATCAATAAAAACGTTTTTAAAAAGGGTCTACCATTTCAAACCATCGCGTGCTCGTGCTGCCATCATTACCCAGAGGGTGGTTTCTGACCCGAAGGCCCCCCTGCCCAGGAGCACCCCACCCCGGGGGCCCCTCTCCTCACCCTTGCCGGATCAAGTCGTACTTGACAGTTGCAAAATCATGGGGGTCTGGAGAAGCCACACAGGTGTCCACAGAGACCCTCAGGCTGGGGTCGGGGCTGTGGAGTGTCGCCTGCAGGAACACCTCCTCCCTCTGGCCAGCGTCCCCGGGCCCCGCGCTCCCCACAGGCGGGGCCACGGGCAGCTGGAGGAACGC